AATGAAGGGTCCGGTCAATCGGACTTGACACTCTAGAATTGGGGGGGTCTGGTTAATCGGATTTGACACTCTAGAAATGGAGGGTCCGTTCAATCGGACTTGACACTCTAGAAATGGAGGGTCCTTTCAATCGGACTTAACACTCTAGAAATGGAGGGTCCGGTCAATCGGACTTAACACTCTAGAAATGGAGGGTCGGTTCAATCGGACTTGACACTCTAGAAATGGAGGGTCCGTTCAATCGGACTTGACACTCTAGAAATAAAAGGTCCTTTAAATCGGACTTGAAACTCTAGAAATGGAAGGTCTGGTCGTTTGGAATTTTTTTTAGTCCTTTTAAACGGCTTAGAAAATCAAAGTAGAGATTTTAAAATGATGAATATAAAATATTTTTTTTTTTGATGTTATCGTTATCTTCATTGATATTGATATCCAGATATATTAAACTCATTTTTTAGGATTTATTTGACTTTTCAAATTCAAGTTTAATTAGATGAGCAGACGGAACCCTGGGTTAATAAGTTGGACAAAATCATAAATAAGAACGAAGTTAGACATTTGATAAAAATGCTTAATTTGACAGAACCCCTCTCAATTCATCATAATATTAATATCTCTGATTTCAATCAAATTACAAGAGTGGAGCAAAAAGCTTGAATTTCAACCTTCTTTCGCTCAATTATACAGTAAATAATTTTTTGTTAAACCCGAGATCAAATTATCGATGAAGTTAGTTCGAAAATAATTTAATTTAGAACGACTTTTTAAATCTAAAATCTTTGATCACGATTTTCTATTAATGTTCACAAATGTCCTTACTATGTAATATTAAGATAGATTATTCAAACATTTAAAAAACAAAAAACGAAAAACAAAACCTTTTTAAATCCGTAAAGATTGTACCTTGAGTTGGGTTGGGTTGGCTCGGAACCGATAAAAGTTTTCGCTTGAGGAAACCCTGAACCGAGGTTTCAGATTAAACAAGAGTTATTCAGGATATAAAATTAGTGGAAGAAATAAAATTGGATATAAAAAAGAAATAGAAGATTAGAAGAAGAGGGGATAGGGGATTTTTCTTCAACCGTATTTGATTTTTAAAGAAAAATCATATGAAAAAAATCAGAAGATAAAGGATAAAATGTAGGAAAATTAAAGGAGAAAAGAATTGCATCTTTGTCACAAACTTTTATTTTATAATAACTATATCTTTAAAACCCAATGAAAATTAATAAATTTATTTATATAAAGATTTTAATTTGTAGACCAAAAAATCTTCTGCTTTTTATGCCATTTATTAAACAAATAAAGAATAAGCTGGAAGATGGAAGAAAAGGATTTAAATTGAAGAAAATTGAATTGTTGAAAAGGAAGAGAAACCAATTTTTCGCAATTTTATTACTTGAAAATGGATTTAAAACTGGTTTTAAATCCATAATAGGGATTCTTTGGAACGCTCTGTCTTTCCCTTCCTCTTCTTATTGTTTTCTAAACTATCAACATATATTAGGCTTGTCTGTATGTTTGCTGGTTTGTCTGTTAGTATCTAAAAACCTCTATAACAGAGCTAGGCTGGGAACTTCTGTGTTGGATATTCATAATCCCCGCCGCTTGATCTCAATATTAACTGTGAGCACTTTTAATTTGAGGATCTTTAAAAAACAATACCTTTCCTTATCTTTATACCCCTACTGATCAAATCTCCATTCAACCCCTGGCTTGGTACGATTACCATATATCAAATAAAGAAAAATCTTCACAATACAAGAGTTTCCAGCTCAGATCAGAACCGATTAGGCCTAGTTTTATTGTTGGACCTAAGTAACTACAAAAAAGGTTCATGGTTGATCGATTTTTTTAAAAATTGCCTCAAAAACATTTCGATTAACAGGAAATTTGAAAATCCGCCAATAACAATTGAAAGATACGCGCGCATAATTGTTTTCCTTTTAAAATGAAAATAAAGCGCTGTTCGCAGTATAGATCAGATTAATCCTAGAGGAAGCCTAGTGTTGAAACATTTGATAAAAATATACATTTGGATCCTGAAAGTTTAGAAAGTACGAAGAAATGCTCTTATTTTGAGAAAGAAATTGAAACATATCCTTTATGTTTTTATATCATTTAAATATATTTTTATCATTGTTGAAAATATGACAAGGGCAGCGAGGTTATGGATTAATTAATAAGCTAACACAGCTCTGTATCATTCTTTAAAAAACGTGTTTAAAATCTTTGTTAATATGTAATATGTAGGTAAGGATGGGTGGCTGCTCTCAGGATTTTGGATTGCTCCCAGGGTTTTGGATTGCTCCAAGGATTTTGGAGTTGCTCACAGGGTTTTGGAGTAAAATGTAAAAATGTATACGACCTTTTATGGAAAGTCCTTCGAAAAAGGGAAATTCAAAACCAAAAATTGTCTTTGTTTAGATATTTGATGGGAAAAAAATCCCAAATTATAGAACAAGTAGCCTGTGGCGATCATATAGTTTTGATTAGCCAAACTGAAGACATTTGTTTTAGCTTATACAAAAGATTTTTGGTAAATGTAAAGAAAATCTTTTTTAGCTGAATATAGGACCCTGAGAGCTAAAGGTTTGAGAATGAGAAGAGAAGATGAAACTTGATGGATATCTCTAGTAAGTTAACTCCCATCCATTCAAATAACAATCAATCAATAAAACGTCCTCTTTCCATACATTCCCTACCCTATTCATTATAGTCTAGTATACCTTCCCTATCCTATTCATTATATTCTAGTATACCTTCCCTATCCTATTCATTATAGTCTATTATACCTTCCCTATCATATTCATTATATTCTATTATACCTTCCCTATCCTATTCATTATAGTCTAGTATACCTTCCCTATCCTATTCATTATAGTCTAGTATACCTTCCCTATCCTATTCATTATAGTCTATTATACCTTCCCTATCCTATTCATTATAGTCTAGTATACCTTCCCTATCCTATTCATTACATTCTAGTACCATCCCTATCCCATTCATTACATTATAGTACCTTCCCTACCCTATTCATTATAGTCTAATATACCTTCCCTATTCATTAAAGTCTAGTAAACTTCCCTATCCTATTCATTATAGTCTAGTTTACCTTTCCTATCCTATTCATTATAGTCTAGTATACCTTCCCTATCCTATTCATTACATTCTAGTACCTTTCCTATCTTATTCATTATATCCTAGTACCTTCCCTATCCTATTCATTACATTCTAGTACGTTTCCTATCCTATTCACTATATCCTTGTATCTTCCCTATCCTATTCATTATATCCTAGTACCTTACCTATTCAATTTATAATATCCTAGTTTACCTACCCTATCCTATTCATTATATCCTAGTACCTTCCCTATCCTATTTATTATATCCAAGTAAGTTCCCTATCCTATTATAATATCCTAGTACCTTCCCTATCCTATTATTATATCCCAGTACCTTCCCTTTCCTATTATAATATCCTAGTACCTTCCCTTTCCTATTCATTATATCCTAGTACCTTCCCTATCCTATTCATTATATCCAAGTACCTTCCCTATCCTATTCATTATATCCTATTACCTTCCTTATCTTATTATTATATCCTAGTACCTTCCCTTTCCTATTTATAATATCCTAATACCTTCTCTAACCTATTTATTATATCTTTGTACCTATCTATCCTATTAGTATATTTATAGCACCTTCTCTATTATATTCTAGTATGTTCCCTATCCTATCTATTATATCCTAGTACCTTCCTATCCTTTTCATTATATCATTGTACCTTCCCTATCCTATGTATTATGTTCTAGTACCATCGCTATCCTATTTATTATATATTATATTCGAATACCTTCCCTATCCTATACTATAATTATTCCCATTCGTTAAAATTAAAGGCTTGGGAAAAAAAGTCCATACCAAATTTCCCAAAAAAAAATTTCCAGCTTTTTATTTAATAAACCTTTTTCCCTTGACTTTCTTAAATAGAATTATTAATAATTGAAGATTAAGATGAATTGGATCAAAGACTTAAAATATTCTAAGAAATAAACGAATTGATTTAATTCATCGGAAAATGTGATATTTGATGAATTAATTAAGTAAAGGAAATACTGGAATATGAAGGAAAATTACTAGGAAAATTACTAGGAAAATTACAAAATAAGATTGAGAAAATGATTTATTTGGAGAGAGTGATAAATAAAATAGGAAATTAAATTCATGATATAGGGCCGGCAAATGAATAATGAGATTATAGGATGGGGAAAATGAATGAATGAGATGAGGAAAATGAATGAATAAGACTGGAAAGTGAAAGGATGAATAAAATTCTAAATAGGATGAATGAGATGAGGAAAAGTGGAAGATTGGTGTAAATATTAGATATTAAAAGTTTTATTCTTTCCAGACTTTAAATCCTTGGATAATCCCTGATAGGGGGGGGGGGGAGGGGGTAGGATTTAAAGGTAAAAGAATGGTAGGGAGTGGAGGGAGTAAGAATGGAAAATCATATGGAAAAATGGAAGGAAAGAAGAGATGAAAAGAGGTAGAGGGAAAGAAGGGAACTTATAGAAAAGGATGAAAAGAGGTAGAGGGAACGGAGGGAAGGTATAGAAAAAGATGAAAAGAGGTATTGGGAAAGGAGGGAAGGTATAGAAAAGGATGAAATAGGTAGAGGAAAAGGAGGGAAGGTATAGAAAAGGATGAAGGGAGGAAGAGAGGGATTAGGTCAAGAAAAAAGGGGTTTATGGGATGTTTAGGTATATTGAAAAGTTAAAGGCAGGGATTGTATAAAGTATTTAGATATATTAAAATATTCATGATTTTATTTTTTACGACCATAACAATTGTTGGTTTATTTGGTGAGGACGGTGTTTTTTACTTGTTAGTTTTTATTTTTTAGTTTCAGATCATTTATTTGAATTTTCTCAATCTAATTCTATTAATCAAATTAAAATAATCAGAATAATATTTTTTACGTATTTTTCTAAATTTAAACACACAATGATACAGTACACTCTAATGTAAACAAAAACCCCAATGTACAAATTATTAAGCAGTCAACATTTAGACTCAGGTCTTGAACCATACAGTGAAGCAGGTTTAGTTTTAAATATATTTTAGTCAAATTTAGTACATTCGAACATTCGATCAAATTGTTTGTTGATAATCAGATATGGAGTTAAAAGATTAGAATATGTCCCAACAGAGATGTTTGGACCCCTCCCGCCCCCCCTCTTTTAATTTTACATTACCATTATTTTAAGCTATTTTGTACTTTTTAAGGGTTAGGGTTGGTTTAATAAATTGTATACTTTGTTGTAATTACCTAACTTTTCTGTATTCTACGTTATTTGTTGATAATTCTTACTTGATTATTATTGAATTTACAAGTCTTGTATCAGGGCTGACACAGGAATCCTATGATTTTGTAAATCAAAGGGGGTGTTGAGCACTATAGCCCTCCCCCCTGTGTACGCCTCCGCTTAATTATGAATGTGGGTTTTTTTATATATCTGCATTTTCTCCAGCTTATTTTACACATTTTTTCTTCAATTTTACAGTGGTTCTTGAATATATTTGGTTTAGAATGGGTTTCCCACGGATCTTGTTAATATGTGGATTGGTGTACTCGGCTCATGCTGGAATCTTTAAAGATGCTCAAAAATTCGGCGAAGATTTTATTAAGGTAATTAAGAGTTTTCCTGGGGGGGGG